CAGATATTTTTTGATTAGCAGGTAAATTTCCAAATTAAACTGGGTAGGAAATATCTCATTTTGTCACGTTTACCCCAGAGGCAACATATTCTTTAATTTAACCATCTTGTTCGGCATCAAGAAGGGCTTGGAACCAATCACCGTGAAACATTTGAAAAAGAGGATCATTATTTAGGTACCGGTGATTAAACTGTTCTCCAGAGGGTCTCAATAATTGTTTCCTTCCAAAGAAAAATATTCTATCTCCGAAGACATGATTTGGAGACCGTTAATTGCGTATAAATCCTGCGCGCCAATTGTACAGAGTCAAAGCAAAACAAAACTTCTTTTATTCCCCGATAATTACATTTCTAATACCTTGTGCCAAAAATTTTTTGAAAAAATTGATATTTCATTTACTTTTAAATCTTGTTCACTAAAAAAAAATACCGTGGATATTGTGTTTTAGAATACGATTTTATTCTATAAAATAATTTGGTTTTATGCTGTTTTGTATCAATTAGAAAAAATTAATTAAAGACATTTATATTTTGTTATAGGATATTTTATTAATTTGTTTTATTAAAAATTTATTGAATTTCACTTACACAGAAGATTGGAAGACAGAATTTCACAAACGTGATGATGCTAAAACTAATTGACGGGGGTAAAAAATTCTACAAAAAATACATGAAACACATGTGACCTATGGACGTCAGCGCCATCTAGTCTTAATCAGAAAAATGGCGTATTAAAATTGAGCTAAGTTTTTCTACATGAGTTAATATGTTAATTAACGATACGTTAATTAAATACAGAGCATATATATATATATATATCCACAGTAATTGTTTTAAAATCTTATCCGATAATTCTATTTATAGTTCCACCATCTTGGGTCCATATGCCACGTGACGTCGATGCTTTGATTGGAGACGCTGTTTCTTTGGATTGTACTGGTCAGGGCACTCCAAAACCTGTAACTACCTGGTTCAAGAAACAAGGTTCTTTCATAATTGCTTTATTTATTCATATTTATTTGCAAGTACTTTTTATAAATTATTCTAGCAATTTATTTAATGATAAATTAATCGTTACTTTCAGAGTAAAATTTATTTAAATTATCCGTATGGCAAAAAATTACAAATTAAAATAATTTTTAAAAATGTAGTACAGGAATATATTTAACTGAAATGACTATAATTAACTGGATTTTAAATAAAAATTTAATTTATTGTAAATTGAATAAAAATAGATTATGTAGAACTAGGTTTTATAAAGTTTTACTTATATTTTAATTTAAAAATTTTTCAAACCTAATGAACCTCTATCATTTTATTAACATTAATCCTTATTATTTGTAGTGTTTTTTTTTTAAAAAAATTTTAAGTACTTCTATGTGATTTAATGATTTTAAATTTGTAAGTACTTCTATGTAATTTAATGATTTTAAATTTGTAAGTACTTCTATGTAATTTAATGATTTTAAATTTGTGAGTTCTATGTAATTTAATGATTTTAAATTTGTAAGTACTTCTATGTAATTTAATGATTTTAAATTTGTAAGTACTTCTATGTAGTTTAATGATTTCAAATTCTATCTTAAGAAACCGATTGCCTGTAATTTTTATTTCTTTCATATTTCAAACAAACTAATTCTGATCACTTTTCAAGAGTGAAAAATTATTTATACAAGCGTTTATTTGAAGAAATTTTCCGAAAAAAGACATGTGTGATATACTCCAAATTTTATTTATCAGGTGATAACGGAGATTTTTTGATCACATCGAACCACTTCAAATTTTCACCCAATGGAAGNCGCCCACATGTTGCGCGGACTGTTAGAGACTTCTGTTCAGCACAACGCATGCAACTTCTTCCTTGGCCTGCTTATTCGCCGGATATGTCGCCTATTGAGCACGTGTGGGATATGGTTGGTCGGCGTCTCACTCGTGATCCGCGTCCTGCAGTTTCCAAAGACGAACTTTGGTTGCGCATACAAGCGATATGGAATTCTCTTCCTCAAGCAGATATTCAACATCTGTTTGACTCCATGCCACGTCGTATAGCAGCACTTATTGCAGCGCGTGGTGGCTGCACCAAATACTGATTTCGGACGCTTAATTTGTTTCTTTTGTTTTGAAAATTTCATCATTTATTTGTATCAGTACAAGTCGTTTCTGCATTAAATTTCATTTGATTCTGATGATTCTTTCATGGTGTTGCATTTTCTACAAACAGCAGTTTATATATATATATGTATGTATATATATATATATATATACATTACTTGAAATATAATTCTTTCTTGTCTACTTCTTTTACTTAACTTAGATTTATTATTTGTTTATGTATTTTACTGTAATCATGATATATTTTTGTTTTGTGTACCTGGCAACTGTGATGCATAATTAGTTTTTTTATGTTCCACATTGTTTCATGTCTGCCTTTGTGTAAAGTCACTATGTAAATATATAGTGAAAGAATTGAAATTTTAGAGAAAGAATCTTTGTGAAGGAATTTAGAATGTGTCACTGAAGAGAAATGATATTTGACGGGCTTGTCTTACTCGAAATAGGATGGAAAGATCAGTTGCTAACGTAAACAAATGCCACGTTTTAACAACCAATCAGGACCACGTCACGTGCAGGTATCCCACTCCCAACATTGTTTGATCAGTTTACACATGAAATGTAATATTTTTAGCAGTATACAAACTTGCATGTCTTGTGAAAGTAAATTTCATACAACATTTAATCCACACTTTTAAAACATAATTGATAGAATCAATACTTCAAATAAAAATTAAAAATGGAATAAGGAGAGAGAAAAAATATTAAATGTTAATAGATCTTAGAAACGGAGAAAAAAACTGCAAATTTTTTTATGTTACCCGAAGATTTTAATCATAATTGTATTTCTATTTTCCACTAAAACTAAAACAAGTTATATTTTTGAGTGTAGCGAAATTCTATTTTTCCTGAAAATACCCTTTTATACGGAAATGTTGCAGGATATTATTTCATTTTCCACTAAATCTCAAACAAGTTATATTTTTGAGTCTAGCGAAATTCTATTTTTCCTAATAAAACCCTTTTATACAGAAATGTTACAGGATATTCTTTCGTTCTTAACAAATTTAAAACAGTGCTGTTTGTTCTACCATTTTGAATTTATAACAATTCCTTCTGTTTAAGTTTAAAGATCAATTTTACTAGTTAAGGTGATTCAGCCGATAGAGGGTTTAGCATTTAGAATGTTCCTTTTTTTAAAATAGATAGGTATTTTAAGTAGTTAAATGACTTAAATTATCTATAGAAAAAAATTGAAATTTTAAACCAAAATTTAAATGAAAAAAAAAGTTCTGAAGGTGCTAATTCAGAGGAGTCGAGTGGCGTTTTAATAACATTTGGGTTACTCCTTTGAGTTTTAGAAAAGCATTCTCTTAAATATTTTGGGGGTGAAACATTTATTGAAGCTTAGGGTAAAAATAAACAAGAACGAAACTGAGAAATCGAAAGCCAATTTAATTTAAGATTCATGAAAGTTTGATTTTCTCTTCTTTGAGTTAAAAGACATCTTTCATTTGTAAAACAACCTTGGATACATTTTAAAAACATCTAAATCTCTTCGAAGTTAATCCCTTCGAAAACGAAAACAGACGACGGCAAGTAATATCACAAAATATACAAAAACGTATTTGTGAAGACAAAACATTTTACAAACGATAGTGATTAAGTTACATTTTCACTGTTTAATAATATACAATACTTTTTTAAAAAGAATATTGTATGATATTATTCAAAACTGCAAATGTTATTCATAACTGCAGTAATAAATATTATTTCATAACTGTATAATGTAAATATAATGTGTCTCAAACAAGAAATGTTTTTTTTTAGATTTAAAGATTATTATTATTATTTTTTTTTTTGAAAAAGAAACATGGACTCATGGTAAATTTTTATTCTGTATTTTAATACTTTATACTTAATACTTAAACTTTATACTTAATACTTTATACTTAATACTTTTCAATTTTGTCAATAATCATCTATTTCTTTTTTGAAAGGGATCAAATCACTACTTTTGATTTCTTTAATCTTTAAATTTAAATTTTTATATTTTTTTACTTTTTTAAAGTCTGTCTTATCATAATTTGAATAATTAATCAAATTAAGCGAGATTAATTAATCCAAATAAACCACAGACTTTTCGTCTGCTTTCTTTAAAATTTTTATTAGAAATTCCTTAACAAACTTAAAGACAAACTTTATATAATATAAACATATTACATGATAATTAATAAACATATTTATATAAAATAAACATATTAATTAGCCGAAACTATAAACTGGGTTTTTTTTAAAACTCAAACGCAATATTTTATTTATTACTTTTACGTACAGACTCATAAAAAAGTTAAATTTTAAATTTTTTAAACTATTTTTTATGCTTCTTCGTCTTAGGAAAGTCTTTGGAAAAAAATACCACCTTATCGTTTTCCCTAGAAACACGTTTTAAAAGCACAACTAAAAGCAAAATAAGCATGTTGCTTCAGATAACTTTACGAATGCTAATTCAGTGATGTAGCATCAATCCATATGATGATTGTACTTTAAAAAATAAATATTAAAGAAAAGTGCGATAAAATCTTAAGCTAATCCATTATAAATTTTACTTATAACAATGGCTAATCTCAAGCTACTGCGAAAAAAATCACTTCTCAAAAATCATTTCTCCCGAAGGGAGTAATTAAAATTTTCAGACGATTTTTCGAATCGGATGTTAAAATTACCGCACTTAGCTGAGTGCGCATTTCGAAACCCTAGAACAAATAATTGTTTAGAGAGATTCAAAATGGACTCTACGACAAGGTAGGTAGGTACTTTATTTACGTTACAGCGCTGCATAATGGTGACCTGCAGGCGAAATCGATCACTTTACGGGAAAACAATTTAACGATGACAGATATCGCGCACCCTCGGTCCCTACGCAGACTGATAAAAGTGGTCACTCACCCATTTACTGATCGCAGGCATGATGTTTGACTTCGGTGTTCTTCTGGGAACCCTGCCTTTACAATCAGCAAACCGCGGTACTCCGTTTTAAGGACTGACAAAATCCTGAGTAAACACAAAAGGAAAATTGAAAAATAGATAATTACAGGTCAATGTTTAAAACATAGCTTAATACATTACTTACGTAAAAAAAGGAAATACATTTTCTTACTAAATTTACGATGAATAACATTACTTTAGAAAACAAGCATTTTGAGCTCAACGTTTGTATCATTACCTTAACAGTAAACATACCATAACGGGTCAAATAACCATTTAGGAACTTTTGCAACGAAAATGAGCTTATCATCTTATTGTTTTGGAACATTTGACTTCATGACTTTTTTTAACACTTATATACAGTTAACAATCTATCCATTTTTTTTTTTTTTTNATACAGTTTATATTCTATGATTTTTTTTTTTTTTTTGTATTTTGTTTGTTTCGAATTATACTTGCCGTATACCTATTTCTACGACAACCGGTCACCTGACCGGGAGAACAATTTATTACTTTATAAGGTTATCGGATCAGAAATGACGATGTAATGCGTGTTCAACGTATTGCATTCGATTATAGTTGTACATATCTGCAAAGACTATTATTGCTCAGTTAATTCAATCAGAATTACTGTGAAGTCAAATTTCAAGAAAGTACCTGAAATTTTTGATTGGCATTTTTGTGTCAGAAAAAGTGACAAAAAGTAAATGTTTTGGTTAGAGCCCCTGAATTAGACAGGCCGACTCATCATCTATTTTGCTCCTAAGAGCTAACATAAGCACAATACTAACATAACGTTAACTTGTGAACTTTTTTGCTCCAATATTGCTTGATAGGTCAGCTCTTTATTTTGATAGCTTTACTTCGTTTCTAACTAACTGTTAGCTTTTACCCAGTAAAATGTCAAAACAGTCAAGACAGCACTAGTTCATAGAAGAAATAATATAAATTATTAGAAGAATTATAATTCTTATAATTGTAAGATTTATGCAATTAGTAATAATTAGAAAAAATATGTATACGTAAAATGTACAAAGGAAACGCCTTGTATATGTAAAAAATGCGTTGAGCAATAAATTAAAAATTCTTATTTTTTGTGTTTGTAATACATAAAAATTAGCAATATACAATTTTGTTTAGTTATAATAAATTTGTTTTGGTTAATTTCCTTCCTAACATCCATATTTCATTCATTCAATCAGGAAGCATAAAGTCCGAACATTTGACCGGCTAATGGTAGAAATAGGTATATATTAGGTGTTGGTATGATTAGTGTTAAAAAAAAATAAGTAATCCTAATTTAAGTGTATATACAGTGTATAATTACTTATCATTAACAATGAAATGCTGGCCAATTGCTCGTAAAAGTTTGATAACAACTCCTTTAAGGAGTAGATTAAACCTAGATGAGCATCCTTTAATGCTTCGTAATTGAATGTTTTAATTTGGCTCTAGAGAATTTTCTAAACGATGCCTTAAAGATATGTGGACATTACAGTCCCCATGGGGGGCATTTACGAGAAAGCAAATTAATAATAAGATAGTCTTACTATTTTGTCTGTATTGTCGTGAACAATTCGAATCAATTTTAAATATGCAATTAAACTACTAAAATATATTTATAGAAGTAAGCAAAATAGTCTCTTTTTTTTAATTCCAGAAACAGTACTTAAAAATTGTAACGTTTGAATTTGGTGAAGGTTTGAATTTGTGACCTAATGCTGCAGATTTTCAACCTCTTGATACTTTTCATCGCTCTGAATTTTTTTTATCAAACTTTTGAACACGCTGAATTTCATTTTATGACAGTCGTTGAACAGTTGACACAATTTTAAATTTACGACTACCAACTCCGTAGCCTAGTAATTTTGAATCCATTTCAGGAGACAAGAAAACGTCTGGATCAAGTATTGGGAGAAATATTGTTGCCTTCGATGAGGATTTTTAATGGAACTAACTCGCATTTGAGTAACATAGAGAGAAATACCATGAGAACCTTCCACGGTTAGTCTGACGTAAAAGAGGCTCTAACCCATGATCCGTCTACCAGTGAAGATATTTTGCGTCAGCACTGTTGTCGATGCGAACCGGGTGGGGAATTCGTATTAACCAGTCACTGCTAGGGTTCGAACCCGGTTAATCTGATTGGAATTCGAACACCCAATCCCCCGAGCTGCTACAGCTCTAAGCACACTGCATTTTATTTTATTTTATTTTATTTTATTTTATAACCGTCGTTGAACAGCAGACTTAATTTTGGGTTTATGACTACGAATGTTCAACTCCGTAGCCTTGTAATTTTGAACCTATCTGGAAGACAAGGAAACTCCTGAATCAATACCCCCAGAAGTTTGATTTGTTATGGAAACATGGAGGACTTTGTGACACGACAGATTAAACGTGCACCTGTCACCATTTACTACACGGGGAGTCTGAAGCCGGCTAGGATCGAACCCACAACCTCTTGAACATGGGACCGGTGCCCTACTAACCAGGCAATCCCGGCCAAAAACACACAGTATTATCACACACAGACTGTCCAACTTTTCTTAGGTCATAAAATTAGGTTATGTTTTTCTCGTTAGTGCTTTTAATATTGACCGCCATTAACGTCGTGCTGTGTAACTTAGAAAAGGGAAATACTTATTTGACCAATCTATTCAAAGAACTTTTTTTTTCCTCAACCAATCCCAGTGGAAGAGGAAATGTCTCATTGAACACCTCGTGATTCTTAGTGAGAATAACAAAAGAAAAATTCAAATGAAATTTAATACCTTTAAGAGTAAGTAATCGAAAAATTCGTTGAAAGCAAAACCAGTCATTTTTCTTAATTTAAACAATGTGGTAATTTCAAAATAATATTTTAAAAAGTGCAATCGCGTCCTAAACGTAAAAGCTATGCCTAACTGTGAGGTGAGTTAGAGAATTCCGCGAACTTTACTACTACCGTTTAAGTTATCCCGTATCTGAAATCCAGTATTATATAGAGATGAGTGGTTGTAATGTTAACTTTAGACCTTTTTTCTATTATTTAACAGATAATGTTAGTTGATACTACTATCTTACGACTCCGTTGAATTAAATAGAGTCTCACTTCAGCTTCTTGCAAATTTGATATTTACTTTAGAACACGCATGCAAACTTCTGAACTTCTTAGAACAATAGAAAGCAAATTTTATGTGTACGCGCACCGAAATATTTTTTCAAAAGATCTTTTAAACTAACCGTTTATTTCGTTTATATTTTCGCATGTTTCTGGTAACCTAAATAACAGACAATAAACGGTAATTGGATATTTGCAAGCAAAGTCACGCGTGGGTTAACTAATCAGAACGTGATTCAGCGTGATAATAAACCCAAACCTTAAAACTGTCAATGTTAACTTCAATGTTTATATGGCTATCACAATCACCTGATTAGACACAATCATGTGATTAGCAGCAAGTACCCAAATGTAATTCAAAAGGTGTTGAAATTACTCTTAAATTACAAGTTGGTCTTTTTTTCATTTTTTAAGAGTATTTCTTAATCTAAAATCATCAAAAAGGGCAACAAATAATAAAAAGAAATTGTTTCAGAATATGCGTTGTTATTTGCGTATGATTTCGTAATTTCCGATTACAAGCAATTTATTAATTATTTACTTTTTTTTTAATTAATGAGAAATTTTGCCTTTTGCTCCACTTAATGGATGTTTCAGTTAGTACCTACTAAACTTAACACTTAAATAGTTTTTACTTACAGGAAAATGAACTGCATGTTTTTAATAAAGTTCTCTAACAATGATTTTTTTTTTATTTTACTCTTTTTTTACTCGAAAAGATTTTTTTAATATGATATATTGCTTATAATTTTCTTTCTTGTTTATTACAGACTGACTCTAGACTTCAATTTCAGACTTTGATTACTTCAACAAAATTGGAAGATTGCTATCAACATAAATATTAAAATACAAATTTATGTCTAGATGTACAAATTTTGTCTAGACATAAAATTATTGATTGTTTTTATGTGCTTCAGAAACCGTTTTGAAAAAATTGCCATCTATTTTTAAAGAATTGGTATAATAGATTTTATTTTATTTCTCACTAAAAGTTTCAAAAGTTTTTATGCTTTTTATATTTCAATCTGATTCAGCAATTGCTGGAAAATAGGGGATAAAACTATTCAAATTATTTATAACTTTTTTAAGGAAATATTTATTTGATTTAATTGCAATAGTATTTTTTTCGCATTACCTTTTCAAACAAGTTTTTAAAACGGATTATTTTATAAAATTTCTTCGTGAAACTTATGTTAATGAATATTAAAATATTGTTACATATAATTAATTATGTATGTATGTTATTCGATTTGGTTGAACAGATTCATGAAAAAAATACTTTTTCAAAATGTCTGTCATTTCTTGTTTAAAAAAATATTTATAGCAATCTTTTCAAGATTTTTCTTCACCTGCAAATTTGACATTTCAGTCAGAAAAAAAGTGAACAAAATTGAGAAAAGGAGATAACGTGACAGGTAAAGTATTCTGATTGATGAAGTCTGTCACTTTTCTTAAAAATAAATGTTGTAATAAGCTTCTTGGACTTCAGTTTGTCATAAACTATTTCTTAAGCTTTAAAAATTCATTATTTGATATTCTTTTGTATTTTTCTTCCTGTTTTCTAACAAATTTTAACTCAGACAATAAAAGAAAAAATTAAGGATAGAGAAATTTCCTTTGCTGCCCATCAAACTTGATATATTTTCAATTTTTCGGCTCTCGTGATATTAAAATCTTTATTAACTTCTCAAAAACTGAATTAGTATACGTGTATAATTCTATACTTTCAATTATTGGATAATTATTTTATTAAAGATATTATGAATGCTATTTCTTCCTAATTTTATACATACTGCAAATATAACTTTCCTTTTAAAAGGTACTAGGACAATAAATGCGGACTAATATAAGTATCGAGGCCTAAGTTGCCAGTTTTTTTCTTCTTTTTTTTCTTCTTTTTTTTTAAAACCGTCGTTGAACAGCCGACCCAATTTCATGGGTTTACGACTACTAATGTTCAACTCCGT